AGTAAGAACACCTCATCTGAGAAATTCAGATAGAAAAAATTCAGATAGAAAGAGGCCTGAGGTAGTGACCAAAATGTTATAATAAAGACAACAAAGATGAGGAAACTGGTCTGAATGAATCAATGTATAATAGTAAGAACACCTCATCTGAGAAATTCAGATAGAAAGAAGGCCTGAGGGTAGAGTGACCAAAAATGTTATAATAAAGACAACAAAGATGAGGAAACTGGTCTGAATGAATCAATGTATAATAGTAAGAACACCTCATCTGAGAAATTCAGATAGAAAGAAGGCCTGAGGGTAGAGTGACCAAAAATGTTATAATAAAGACAACAAAGATGAGGAAACTGGTCTGAATGAATCAATGTATAATAGTAAGAACACCTCATCTGAGAAATTCAGATAGAAAGAAGGCCTGAGGGTACAGTGACCAAAATGTTATAATAAAGACAACAAAGATGAGGAAACTGGTCTGAATGAATCAATGTATAATAGTAAGAACACCTCATCTGAGAAATTCAGATAGAAAGAAGGCCTGAGGTAGAGTGACCAAAATGTTATAATAAAGACAACAAAGATGAGGAAACTGGTCTGAATGAATCAATGTATAATAGTAAGAACACCTCATCTGAGAAATTCAGATAGAAAGAAGGCCTGAGGGTAGAGTGACCAAAATGTTATAATAAAGACAACAAAGATGAGGAAACTGGTCTGAATGAATCAATGTATAATAGTAAGAACACCTCATCTGAGAAATTCAGATAGAAAGAAGGCCTGAGGGTAGAGTGACCAAAATGTTATAATAAAGACAACAAAGATGAGGAAACTGGTCTGAATGAATCAATGTATAATAGTAAGAACACCTCATCTGAGAAATTCAGATAGAAAGAAGGCCTGAGGGACCAAAATGTTATAATAAAGACAACAAAGATGAGGAAAGAATGAATCAATGTGAACACCTCATCTGAAAATTCAGATAGAAAAGAAGGCCTGAGGGTAGAGTGACCAAAATGTTATAAAAAGACAACAAAGATGAGGAAACTGGTCTGAATGAATCAATGTATAATAGTAAGAACACCTCATCTGAGAAATTCAGATAGAAAGACGCCTGAGGGTAGAGTGACCAAAATGTTATAATAAAGACAACAAAGATGAGGAAACTGGTCTGAATGAATCAATGTATAATAGTAAGAACACCTCATCTGAGAAATTCAGATTGAAAGAAGGCCTGAGGGTAGAGTGACCAAAATGTTATAATAAAGACAACAAAGATGAGGAAACTGGTCTGAATGAATCAATGTATAATAGATAGAAAAAGAACACCTCATCTGAGAAATTCAGATCAAGAAAGAAGGCCTGAGGGTAGACAGTGACCAAAAATGTTATAATAAAGACAACAAAGATGAGGAAACTGGTCTGAATGAATCAATGTATAATAGTAAGAACACCTCATCTGAGAAATTCAGATAGAAAGAAAGGCCTGAGGGGTACAGTGACCAAAATGTTATAATAAAGACAACAAAGATGAGGAAACTGGTCTGAATGAATCAATGTATAATAGTAAGAACACCTCATCTGAGAAATTCAGATAGAAAGAAGGCCAAAACCAAAATGTTATAATAAAGACAACAAAGATGAGGAAACTGGTCTGAATGAATCAATGTATAATAGTAAGAACACCTCATCTGAGAAATTCAGATAGAAAGAAGGCCTGAGGGTAGAGTGACCAAAATGTTATAATAAAGACAACAAAGATGAGGAAACTGGTCTGAATGAATCAATGTATAATAGTAAGAACACCTCATCTGAGAAATTCAGATAGAAAGAAGGCCTGAGGGTACAGTGACCAAAATGTTATAATAAAGACAACAAAGATGAGGAAACTGGTCTGAATGAATCAATGTATAATAGTAAGAACACCTCATCTGAGAAATTCAGATAGAAAGAAGGCCTGAGGGTAGAGTGACCAAAATGTTATAATAAAGACAACAAAGATGAGGAAACTGGTCTGAATGAATCAATGTATAATAGTAAGAACACCTCATCTGAGAAATTCAGATAGAAAGAAGGCCTGAGGGTACAGTGACCAAAATGTTATAATAAAGACAACAAAGATGAGGAAACTGGTCTGAATGAATCAATGTATAATAGTAAGAACACCTCATCTGAGAAATTCAGATAGAAAGAAGGCCTGAGGGTAGAGTGACCAAAATGTTATAATAAAGACAACAAAGATGAGGAAACTGGTCTGAATGAATCAATGTATAATAGTAAGAACACCTCATCTGAGAAATTCAGATAGAAAGAAGGCCTGAGGGTACAGTGACCAAAATGTTATAATAAAGACAACAAAGATGAGGAAACTGGTCTGAATGAATCAATGTATAATAGTAAGAACACCTCATCTGAGAAATTCAGATAGAAAGAAGGCCTGAGGGTAGAGTGACCAAAATGTTATAATAAAAGACAACAAAGATGAGGAAACTGGTCTGAATGAATCAATGTATAATAGTAAGAACACCTCATCTGAGAAATTCAGATAGAAAGAAGGCCTGAGGGTACAGTGACCAAAATGTTATAATAAAGACAACAAAGATGAGGAAACTGGTCTGAATGAATCAATGTATAATAGTAAGAACACCTCATCTGAGAAATTCAGATAGAAAGACGGCCTGAGGGTAGAGTGACCAAAATGTTATAATAAAGACAACAAAGATGAGGAAACTGGTCTGAATGAATCAATGTATAAAGTAAGAACACCTCATCTGAGAAATTCAGATAGAAAGAAGGCCTGAGGGTAGAGTGACCAAAATGTTATAATAAAGACAACAAAGATGAGGAAACTGGTCTGAATGAATCAATGTATAATAGTAAGAACACCTCATCTGAGAAATTCAGATAGAAAGACGGCCTGAGGGTAGAGTGACCAAAATGTTATAATAAAGACAACAAAGATGAGGAAACTGGTCTGAATGAATCAATGTATAATAGTAAGAACACCTCATTTGAGAAATTCAGATAACAAAAAGAAGGCCTGAGGGTAGAGTGACCAAAATGTTATAATAAAGACAACAAAGATGAGGAAACTGGTCTGAATGAATCAATGTATAATAGTAAGAACACCTCATCTGAGAAATTCAGATAGAAAGAAGGCCTGAGGGTAGAGTGACCAAAATGTTATAATAAAGACAACAAAATGAGGAAACTGGTCTGAATGAATCAATGTATAATAGTAAGAACACCTCATCTGAGAAATTATAGAAAGAAGGCCTGAGGGTACAGTGACCAAAATGTTATAATAAAGACAACAAAGATGAGGAAACTGGTCTGAATGAATCAATGTATAATAGTAAGAACACCTCATCTGAGAAATTCAGATAGAAAGAAGGCCTGAGGGTAGAGTGACCAAAATGTTATAATAAAGACAACAAAGATGAGGAAACTGGTCTGAATGAATCAATGTATAATAGTAAGAACACCTCATCTGAGAAATTCAGATAGAAAGAAGGCCTGAGGGTAGAGTGACCAAAATGTTATAATAAAGACAACAAAGATGAGGAAACTGGTCTGAATGAATCAATCATATAATAGTGAAAGAACACCTCATCTGAGAAATTCAGATCAAGTATAAAGAAGGCCTGAGGGTAGAAAGAAGGCCTGAGTGACCAAAATGTTATAATAAAGACAACAAAGATGAGGAAACTGGTCTGAATGAATCAATGTATAATAGTAAGAACACCTCATCTGAGAAATTCAGATAGAAAGAAGGCCTGAGGGTAGAGTGACCAAAATGTTATAATAAAGACAACAAAGATGAGGAAACTGGTCTGAATGAATCAATGTATAATAGTAAAGAACACCTCATCTGAGAAATTCAGATAGAAAGAAGGCCTGAGGGTAGAGTGACCAAAATGTTATAATAAAGACAACAAAAGATGAGGAAACTGGTCTGAATGAATCAATGTATAATAGTAAGAACACCTCATCTGAGAAATTCAGATAGAAAGAAGGCCTGAGGGTCCAAAAGTTATAGTAAAGACCAAAGAAAATGTTGAATCAAATAAAGACACCTCATCTGAGAAAAGATGAAGGAAACTGGTCTGAATGAATCAATGTAGGAATCTGAATGAACAATGTCATCTGAGAAATTCAGATGAGAAAATAGAAAGGCCTGAGGGTACAGTGACCAAAAATGTTATAATAAAGACAACAAAGATGAGGAAACTGGTCTGAATGAATCAATGTATAATAGTAAGAACACCTCATCTGAGAAATTCAGATAGACAAAAAGAAGGCCTGAGGGACAGTGACCAAAATGTTATAATAAAGACAACAAAGATGAGGAAACTGGTCTGAATGAATCAATGTATAATAGTTATAATAAAAGAACAAAGATGAGGAAACTGAATGAATCAATGTATAATAGTAAGATCATCTGAGAAATTCAGATAGAAAGAAGGCCTGAGGGTAGAGTGACCAAAATGTTATAATAAAGACAACAAAGATGAGGAAACTGGTCTGAATGAATCAATGTATAATAGTAAGAACACCTCATCTGAGAAATTCAGATAGAAAGAAGGTTATATATCATGTTATTTTTCTATAATAATTTAATTATTATCTTGAAATAAAGTGAGGCTTAATATTAATGTAATTATATGTGTCAACATAAATTATATATATTATATTTATTTAATATTAATATAATATCAAAAAGTGTAAACTAAAATATGATCACCACCAATGTTAAAATAGTTTGCAGACTGTATCCAAAAAATATCCAAATATTCACTGATATATATATATATATATATATATATATAGATAGATATATATTGCAGAAACAGATTTTTAAAAGAAACTAAAACATACAGTTTTGGCCAATTACAGTTAAGTTACAATGTTTTAACCATTTCTGTCAGGTTTTGTTAATAATACTCAAGTTGTAAGCTTTAAAAAGGTAATTAAGTCAGAAAATAATGTGAACCATATGAAAAATGTTAATAGAAAAAACAGACATAAAATGGTAAGAGAGGAAGACATAAAACAGTGAAATAGGAGGAAAAGAAAAATAGAAAAATAACCTGAGCAATATAAAATAGGAAGAGAGGCGAACTGATATAAAATAGGAAGAGAGGAGGACAGATATAAAATAGGAATAGAGGGTGACAGGTATAAAATAGGAAGAGAGTGGGACAGGTATAAAATAGGAAGAGAGATGAACAGATATAAAATAAGAAGAGAGGGGGGACTGATATACAAGAGGAAGGGAGGGGACTGACGCAAAATAGGGAGAGATGGGAACAGATATAAAATACAAAGAGAGGAGGACAGATATAAAATAGGAAGAGAGGGGAACTGATATAAAATACAAAGAGAGGGGAGGAAATATAAAAGGAAATGAAGGGAGCCAATTTAAATAGTAAGCAAGTGTAACTGATATAAAATAGGAAGAGAGGTGAGAAAATATAAAACAGTGAGCAAGGATAACTGATATAAAATAGGAAGAGAGGTGAGAAAATATGAAACAGTGAGCAAGGGTAACAGATATAAAACAGGAAGAGAGGTGAGAAAATATGAAACAGTGAGCAAGGGTAACTGATATAAAACAGGAAGAGAGGTGAGAAAATATAAAACAGTGAGTAAGGGTAACAGATATAAAATAGGAAGAGAGGTGAGAAAATATAAAACAGTGATCAAGGGTAACTGATATAAAATAGGAAGAGGTGAGAAAATATGAAACAGTGAGCAAGTGTAACTGATATAAAACAGGAAGAGAGGTGAGAAATATGAAACAGTGAGCAAGGGTAACTGATATAAAACAGGAAGAGAGGTGAGAAAATATGAAACAGTGAGCAAGGGTAACTGATATAAAATAGGAAGAGAGGTGAGAAAATATGAAACAGTGAGCAAGGGTAACTGATATAAAACAGGAAGAGAGGTGAGAAAATATGAAAGAGTGAGCAAGGGTAACAGATATAAAACAGGAAGAGAGGTGAGAAAATATAAAACAGTGAGCAAGGGTAACTGATATAAAATAGGAAGAGAGGTGAGAAAATATGAAACAGTGATCAAGGGTAACTGATATAAACTAGGAAGAGAGGTGAGAAAATATGAAACAGTGAGCAAGGGTAACTGATATAAAACAGGAAGAGAGGTGAGAAAATATGAAACAGTGATCAAGGGTAACAGATATAAAACAGGAAGAGAGGTGAGAAAATATAAAACAGTGAGCAAGGGTAACTGATATAAAATAGGAAGAGAGGTGAGAAAATATGAAACAGTGATCAAGGGTAACTGATATAAAATAGGAAGAAAGGTGAGAAAATATGAAACAGTGAGCAAGGGTAACTGATATAAAACAGGAAGAGAGGTGAGAAAATATGAAACAGTGAGCAAGGGTAACTGATATAAAATAGGAAGAGAGGTGAGAAAATATGAAACAGTGAGCAAGGGTAACTGATATAAAACAGGAAGAGAGGTGAGAAAATATGAAACAGTGAGCAAGGGTAACAGATATAAAACAGGAAGAGAGGTGAGAAAATATAAAACAGTGAGCAAGGGTAACAGATATAAAATAGGAAGAGAGGTGAGAAAATATGAAACAGTGATCAAGGGTAACTGATATAAAATAGGAAGAGAGGTGAGAAAATATGAAACAGTGAGCAAGGGTAACAGATATAAAATACGAAGAGAGGGGAGCAAATACGAAACAGTTAGGAACGGTAACAGATATAAAATACAAAGAAAGGGATCAAATACAAAAGGAAATCAGGGGAAACAATTTAAAAAGTAAGTAAGAGGAACAGATATAAAATAGGCAGAGAGGTGAGAAAATATAAAACAGTGAGCAAGGATAACTGATATAAAATAGGAAGAGAGGTGAGAAAATATAAAACAGTGAGGAAGGGTAACTGATATAAAATAGGATGAGAGGTGAGAATATATAAAACAGTGAGCAAGTATAACTGATATAAAATAGGAAGAGAGGTGAGAAAATATAAAACAGTGAGCAAGGGTAACTGATATAAAATAGGAAGAGAGGTGAGAAAATATAAAACAGTGAGCAAGGGTAACTGATATAAAATAGGAAGAGAGGTGAGAAAATATGAAACAGTGATCAAGGGTAACTGATATAAAATAGGAAGAGAGGTGAGAAAATATAAAACAGTGAGCAAGGGTAACTGATATAAAATAGGAAGAGAGGTGAGAAAATATGAAACAGTGATCAAGGGTAACTGATATAAAATAGGAAGAGAGGTGAGAAAATATAAAACAGTGAGCAAGGGTAACTGATATAAAATAGGAAGAGAGGTGAGAAAATATGAAACAGTGAGCAAGGGTAACTGATATAAAATAGGAAGAGAGGTGAGAAAATATAAAACAGTGAGCAAGGATAACTGATATAAAATAGGAAGAGAGGTGAGAAAATATAAAACAGTGAGCAAGGATAACTGATATAAAATAGGAAGAGAGGTGAGAAAATATGAAACAGTGAGCAAGGATAACTGATATAAAATAGGAAGAGAGGTGAGAAAATATAAAACAGTGAGCAAGGATAACTGATATAAAATAGGAAGAGAGGTGAGAAAATATGAAACAGTGATCAAAGGTAACTGATATAAAATAGGAAGAGAGGGAGAAAAATATGAACCAGTGAGCAAGGATAACTGATATAAAATAGGAAGAGAGGTGCGAAAATATGAAACAGTGATCAATGGTAACTGATATAAAATAGGAAGAGAGGTGAGAAAATATAAAACAGTGAGCAAGGGTAACTGATATAAAATAGGAAGAGAGGTGAGAAAATATGAAACAGTGATCAAGGGTAACTGATATAAAATAGGAAGAGAGGTGAGAAAATATAAAACAGTGAGCAAGGATAACTGATATAAAATAGGAAGAAAGGTGAGAAAATATGAAACAGTGAGCAAGGGTAACTGATATAAAACAGGAAGAGAGGTGAGAAAATAGGAAACAGTGAGCAAGGGTAACTGATATAAAATAGGAAGAGAGGTGAGAAAATATGAAACAGTGAGCAAGGGTAACTGATATAAAAACAGGAAGAGAGGTGAGAAAATATGAAACAGTGAGCAAGGGTAACAGATATAAAACAGGAAGAGAGGTGAGAAAATATAAAACAGTGAGCAAGGGTAACAGATATAAAATAGGAAGAGAGGTGAGATAATATGAAACAGTGATCAAGGGTAACTGATATAAAATAGGAAGAGAGGTGAGAAAATATGAAACAGTGAGCAAGGGTAACAGATATAAAAAATGAAGAGAGGGGAGCAAATACAAGGGAAACAGTTAGGAATGGTAACAGATATAAAATACAAAGAAAGGGATCAAATACAAAAGGAAATAAAATAGGGAAACAATTTAAAAAGTAAGTAAGAGGAACAGATATAAAATAGGAAGAGAGGTGAGAAAATATAAAACAGTGAGCAAGGACAACTGATATAAAATAGGAAGAGAGGTGAGAAAATATAAAACAGTGTGGAAGGGTAACTGATATAAAATAGGATGAGAGGTGAGAATATATAAAACAGTGAGCAAGGATAACTGATATAAAATAGGAAGAGAGGTGAGAAAATATAAAACAGTGAGCAAGGGTAACTGATATAAAATAGGAAGAGAGGTGAGAAAATATGAAACAGTGATCAAGGGTAACTGATATAAAATAGGAAGAGAGGTGAGAAAATATGAAACAGTGATCAAGGGTAACTGATATAAAATAGGAAGAGAGGTGAGAAAATATGAAACAGTGAGCAAGGGTAACTGATATAAAATAGGAAGAGAGGTGAGAAAATATGAAACAGTGATCAATGGTAACTGATATAAAATAGGAAGAGAGGTGAGAAAATATAAAACAGTGAGCAAGGGTAACTGATATAAAATAGGAAGAGAGGTGAGAAAATATGAAACAGTGATCAAGGGTAACTGATATAAAATAGGAAGAGAGGTGAGAAAATATAAAACAGTGAGCAAGGATAACTGATATAAAATAGGAAGAAAGGTGAGAAACTATGAAACAGTGAGCAAGGGTAACTGATATAAAACAGGAAGAGAGGTGAGAAAATAGGAAACAGTGAGCAAGGGTAACTGATATAAAATAGGAAGAGGTGAGAAAATATGAAACAGTGAGCAAGGGTAACTGATATAAAACAGGAAGAGAGGTGAGAAAATATGAAACAGTGAGCAAGGGTAACAGATATAAAACAGGAAGAGAGGTGAGAAAATATAAAACAGTGAGCAAGGGTAACAGAGATATAAAATAGGAAGAGAGGTGAGAAAATATGAAACAGTGATCAAGGGTAACTGATATAAAATAGGAAGAGAGGTGAGAAAATATGAAACAGTGAGCAAGGGTAACAGATATAAAATACGAAGAGAGGGAGCAAATACGAAACAGTTAGAATGGTAACAGATATAAAATACAAAGAAAGGGATCAAATACAAAAAGGAAATCAGGGGGAAACAATTTAAAAAGTAAGTAAGAGGAACAGATATAAAATAGGAAGAGAGGTGAGAAAATATAAAACAGTGAGCAAGGACAACTGATATAAAATAGGAAGAGAGGTGAGAAAATATAAAACAGTGAGGAAGGGTAACTGATATAAAATAGGATGAGAGGTGAGAATATATAAAACAGTGAGCAAGGATAACTGATATAAAATAGGAAGAGAGGTGAGAAAAATATAAAACAGTGAGCAAGGGTAACTGATATAAAATAGGAAGAGAGGTGAGAAAATATGAAACAGTGATCAAGGGTAACTGATATAAAATAGGAAGAGAGGTGAGAAAATATGAAACAGTGATCAAGGGTAACTGATATAAAATAGGAAGAGAGGTGAGAAAATATGAAACAGTGAGCAAGGGTAACTGATATAAAATAGGAAGAGAGGTGAGAAAATATAAAACAGTGAGCAAGGATAACTGATATAAAATAGGAAGAGAGGTGAGAAAATATAAAACAGTGAGCAAGGGTAACTGATATAAAATAGGAAGAGAGGTGCGAAAATATGAAACAGTGATCAATGGTAACTGATATAAAATAGGAAGAGAGGTGAGAAAATATAAAACAGTGAGCAAGGGTAACTGATATAAAATAGGAAGAGAGGTGAGAAAATATGAAACAGTGATCAAGGGTAACTGATATAAAATAGGAAGAGAGGTGAGAAAATATAAAACAGTGAGCAAGGGTAACTGATATAAAATAGGAAGAGAGGTGAGAAAATATGAAACAGTGAGCAAGGATAACTGATATAAAATAGGAAGAGAGGTGAGAAAATATAAAACAGTGAGCAAGGATAACTGATATAAAATAGGAAGAGAGGTGAGAAAATATGAAACAGTGATCAATGGTAACTGATATAAAATAGGAAGAGAGGTGAGAAAATATGAACCAGTGAGCAAGGATAACTGATATAAAATAGGAAGAGAGGTGCGAAAATATGAAACAGTGATCAATGGTAACTGATATAAAATAGGAAGAGAGGTGAGAAAATATGAAACAGTGAGCAAGGGTAACTGATATAAAATAGGAAGAGAGGTGAGAAAATATGAAACAGTGAGCAAGGGTAACTGATATAAAATAGGAAGAGAGGTGAGAAAATATAAAACAGTGAGCAAGGGTAACTGATACAAAATTGACTAGCTAAGAAACACAAGATAATGACGAAAGCATTAGGAATTATTTTTGTGGCTATGTCCTGAGATCCTCACTGTTGGATAATGTGTTTTGTATGCAGGACACTAGTATGACTGAAGTGTCACATACGATACAGACATAAAAGCTGAAAGAGTCTGTCAGATCCTTATACATCAAAATTGACAGGATATATATTATCAAGTTGTCCGATTTGTTAACTGAAATTAAATTTGATAGTTTCTGTTCTTATTCATGTGTATAAATAGTTTTTCATAAAAGCCTGCAGAAAATACTAAAACATTCTCAATACATCTTTCTATGAGTACTTAAAATAATCTGCCAGTGAAGTTCAAAAAACACAGCTATTCTTTAAAAACATATCAAACATTGTACAGAACCTTTGGATAAACAACATCCTCACACAACAAAGCTTATCTATCCATATGATACTAAAAGTCTGTGATTGCATGCATGCTTGTGTTGTGTGTCTGTCTGGCACATAATGATTTAAGTTAATCTGATTTAAGTGAATAAGATTTAAAAATACAAGTTATATATACAGTAAGTATTTTTATTTTAAGTTTCTTCAGATGCAATTCTGTTAAAATATTTTCAAGTTAAAGACAGACACAAAGAGATCCCACTTTGCTGTTTTGTCCAGTTCTTTCAAGAGTAATTATTTATATTTAAGCTTTCTTTAAACAAATAGTATTTTAAATATTTCAAAAATATTTCTTGGCATATTTAAAACATTGAAATTAAAAGTTTATCCTGGAAGTTCTATTCCTATTAAATGATGTAAACAATCAGTAAAATGTTAAACATGAACTTGTAAACCAGACCAATGATGACGTGAACGAATTGAAATATTTAACTGAATCATAATAAACTTAACTTTCATTTCAATGGAATTCTGAAATCAACTTCAATGTTTTATAACCTGAACTGTCAATGACCCAACAGGACATGGGTAGTCTAGTCTATATATAAAATTCTGTGACTTCTGTCTGTCCATCACACTCTCAAAAACAGCCATACATTGACACATCAAAACTAAATTTTGATAAGTACAAATGGGTCATGGGTACAAAGTACAGTTGGTTTTACTAGGGGACATAATGTGATAAATTTGCACTCATATTTTTGGGAAAATTAAAAGTTTTATTATCTAACATACAAAATACTTCCTCGATTTTAAAAACAATTTAATGATTAAGAAGTACTTATTTAATAAAAATGCAATATTGTTTTTTTGCATATCTTTTCTCTAAGTTTTTATATATACAAGAATCCAGTTTCCAGTCTGCTCTGCATTTGTGAGAGCTATAAACTAATCACAAGGACAAATGTTTCAAAAAGTTGGAATTTGTCTTGAGAAAGAAATATTTATGAATGACCAGTTGCATGTTGCATGTTCAAGAGTAAGAAATCCTAAGAACTTATTTTTTGCTGTTAGAAAGGAAAATAGAAAATTTTCTTAAATATTGTTTACCATGAAGTCCTATAAAAATAAATTAAAGATATTATAAAAGTGTGAAGTAGGGTTTTTTCAAAGTATTTTCTAAACAAATCACTTTTTTCAAATTTCATTGATTGATTTTCAAAATTGATCAAAACTTAGAGTTTGTAAATCTTGACAAAAAATGTTAGTGATAATTTTAACAATATTAAATACTGCGTCAATGTGTTACAAAATAATTCTAGTAAACTAGAAAACAAAAAATGTCAATAACACTAAATGCCAACAAAAATTCAATATTGATAAAAAATAAAATTTCTAGCAAAAAATTTAAATTCTCAACTGTTGCTATTATGTTAAAATTGATGTATTAAGAATTTCATTCATGTTTTGTTTTGTTTGTTTTTAAATAAATGACAAGTTCATTGCTAATGTTTAAATTCCAGACTTAATTATTATTTTTTTGCTTCTTTCTTTTTAAGTGCCCTGTCCCTTCAGGACGTAGGCGATCATGGCTCTCCACTTCCCCCTATCCCTTGTAGCTCTCAATAAGTTTTGTCCCTCAGCTACTTCCCCCAGGCTGTGTTCTGTCATCCACTTGCTTAAGTTCACTGGGCATGTCATGTGTTGCTTTCCCGTGTCCATCCTTTCCTCTATCCACCCTGTGAGTATCAGATTCTCTAATCCCTTCTTTCTCATTACATGTCCCAGAAATTTCAGCTGCCTCTTCCTTATGTTAAGTATAAGCTTCCTCCTTGTTTGCATCCTCTCCAAAACATTACAAAGACTAAAAACATACCAGACTCAACTACTGATGAAAAATTTTATTAAAAAGTCAAAAAGAAAGCAAAGAAGATGAACTTTATGGATTTGTCTAGAGACATAAAAATAGAAGATTAGCAATAATAAGGAATCTGAAAATATAAATGGCTAAGAGGTAGTGACATCAGTCTGGTAGATAATTCCAAATGAGAATGAAGATATTTAGATAATTGAGTGACTGGCCAATCAATAATTGTAAATGGTGTAATCATCAAAGAACAGATTCAATAATACTATAAGTATTAGGTTGCTACCTAATACTTACAGTATTATTGAATCTATTATAATTTGGTAGCTAGAATAGCTTCTTCAATTAAGCATTCTTATCTAATGACAAATGATTGCATTATTACAAAATAATTTTGATAGTATAAATCCACTGATTGAACAATACATGTCTAAACATTAATATAATCAATTACACACTTCTACATTCATGGGCTGTGTCCTTTTCAGATATGTGCGACCATGGCTCTCTACAATTTCCTGCCTCTCGTAATGTTTGCAATTTTACTTCACCACTTACTTGTCTGTTATCTAGTTACACATGCTTGTTAAACAGATTACTTACGGCTCCTCTCTGTTTCTCTCATTTTCAATATGTCCTATGAGTGACAATTTCTCCAAGCCTTCTTTCCTTGTTATGTGTCCTAAAAATTTCAAATGTCTCTTTCTAATTCTAAATATAAATGTCATTTTTGTTTCCATTTTCATGAAAACTTCCTCATTGCTCATATGCTCACTCAATGGTATTCTCAGCATTCTACATTTTTTTTTTTTTTTAAGCGTTTCACCCCAAGCAAGGCGGGAAGCCACTATGACGCAAGGGGTTACAGAAGATTTGGAGCAAGATCAGATAGGATTGATAGAAGAAAGGATGAGGAGAAGGATAGTGGATAGATCAAGGCAACTAGAGATGTCGATTGACATTACATTTGAATAGTTGGAGATTATAGCTCTCAGGGAAACTGGAATAGGGAAGGGAGTTCCACAGGCGAGAGGTAAAAGAGACATGAAGCTATTGGTTTAGAAGAGATGGCTACATTTAGGAGTTTCGACAGTGAAGGGGTGAGAGCAGGATGCCAGCCTCGTGAGGGCGCTTGAATTCATAAAGTCTGGGAACCAGCGAATGCAGCTCCTCGGAGCAACCTTAAATTTCCACTTCATCTGCAAGGTAATTCTACAGAATTCATTGCTGTACAGGAAGACTGATATAGAAGTTCAGCATTCTTTGTTTTTAATTAAATTTTTTTATTGCTTGATTTTGGCATATTTACTTCATAACTCATATCTTATACTGTTCTTGTTGTTAACAACTACACATTCTGGTTTCTTATAATAGTTAGTCCTTTCATCCTGCTTTCTTTTACTAACTTGTCTAAGAGTTCCTGCAATTTTCTTTCTGTGTTTGCCATCAAAAGAGTATCATCTGTATATCCTATGCTGTTAGCATTGTGCTCATCCATACTAAATCCTACTAGGACTTCTACTTTTCTTAGGATTGCCTTGCAGTATAAGTTAAGTAAATCCAGTAAGAAGATGCATGCCTGTGTTACAACCCTTTCTATTTTACTAACTTCTTCTTTATGTGCCATTTTCCTTCAGGGTGTAGGCGATAATGGCTCTCCACAATTTCCTCTTTTTGTAGCTCTTAATAAATTTTCTCTTTTTCTTATCTCTCCTAAACCTTGTTCCATCATCCATTTACACAAGCTCATTCTTCTTCTATGTACCGTATGCCTTCAGGACATAAGCGATCATGGCTCTCCACAATTTCCTGTCCTTTGTAGCTCTTAATAAATTTTGTCTTTTTCTTATCTCTCCTAAACCTTGTACCATCATCCATTTACACAAGCTCATTCTTTTTCTTCTATGTACCGTATGCCTTCAGGACATAAGCAATCATGGCTCTCCACAATTTCCTGTCCTTTGTAGCTCTTAATAAATTGTGTCTTTTTCTTATCTCTCCTAAACCTTGTTCCATCATCCATTTACTCAAGCTCATTCTTTTTCTTCTATGTACTGTATGCCTTCAGGACATAAGCAATCATGGCTCTCCACAATGTCCTGTCCTTTGTAGCTCTTAATAAATTGTGTCTTTTTCTTATCTCTCCTAAACCTTGTTCCATCATCCATTTACTCAAGCTCATTCTTTTTCTTCTATGTACCGTATGCCTTCAGGACGTAAGCGATCATGGCTCTCCACAATTTCCTGTCCTTTGTAGCTCTTAATAAATTGTGTCTTTTTCTTATCTCTCCTAAACCTTGTTCCATCATCCATTTACATGAGCTCATTCTTTTTCTTCTATGTACCGTATGCCTTCAGGACATAAGCGATCATGGCTCTCCACAATGTCCTGTCCTTTGTAGCTCTTAATAAATTTTGTCTTTTTCTTATCTCTCCTAAACCTTGTTCCATCATCCATTTACACAAGCTCATTTTTTTTCTTCTATGTACCGTATGCCTTCAGGACGTAAGCGATCATGGCTCTCCACAATTTCCTGTCCTTTGTAGCTCTTAATAAACCTTGTTCCATCATCCATTTACACAAGCTCATTTTTTTTCTTCTATGTACCGTATGCCTTCAGGACATAAGCAATCATGGCTCTCCACAATTTCCTGTCCTTTGTAGCTCTTAATAAATTTTGTCT